CGGTAGCCTGGGTTGATCCAGAAGACGAGCGCGCCGGCGATCTGACGGCCGCGCTTGCTGCGGCTTATCCAGTAAGTCCTCCTCTGGGGGTGGTTATTTTTCCATGCACATGTTCGGCCTGAAGGGCCGGATCGGGGATGGGTGCACGCCGATTCTCAGATGTTGCGGTGTGCTCGTGCCCTTTTGCTCCGCCCCCGATCCGTCCCTCTCCCGGGCCAAAACCTCTCGTGTGACCGGGGCCACTGTTAAGAATAGCGGTTGCCTCTTGAACCTAATGAGATATAGGGCATTCGTATGCCCCCCCCCCCTGCGCTGGCCAATTAGGCACCCTCCCGCGTGCGGGCTAGAGCCAGCAAGCGTTACTATGCAAAGCCAGGAATTGTTTGGCTCCCATGGCTGGCCTGGAAGGCAGACAACACACATCGCCACCTGCACTTCTTTAGAGATAAGCATTTCAGCGCAAAGCAGAGAGAAAGGAATGCGAAAGCAATTTACACAGACACTGAAAGAACATCCCAACCCCCATGGCAGCCTAGCTGACAGTCAGTCACACACATACACGTACACGTGTAGGACCATTCCCACAACAATTTTATACAGACCCCCATTCATTAGATGGATGAATCAAAACTACACAAATAACACTATCAGCGGAAGTTTCAAAAATAATACAAATGACTCTTGAACAGAGGTCATTTCGGGGGGGAACGCGGGGGAACGCAGTCCCCCCGGGTGAGGTGCAGGGGGGCAGGGCACATGACGAAGCCCCGCCCCCTACTTCCGGCCGCCCCGCTTCCAGCCCTCATTCAGCCAGGAGGAGGCAGGAGAAGAGGGAGGGTAAGTTGCTTTCTCCCTGCCTCTCCCCACCCCTGCCTGCCTGGGGCCAGGGAGGGCCTTCGCGGGGCTTCCTCGCACTCCCGCTGGCCTTGCAGGTCCACCGCCGGGCCCCTGATGTCAGGGGGTGTGGCATATACTAATGAGTTATGCTAATGAGTTCCCCTAGCTCTTTTTCTACGAAATGACCCCTGCTCTTGAAATACAACTTTGGAATGGACAAGAAGAGAATGAGTTATCTGGCCAAACAAGACTAGTAAGCCAATCCTTTTTGATGAAGAGGAAAGGTATATGAGTAGTAACCAGGGCTTTTTGTCTGGGGGAATGTGCCAGAACGGAGTTCCGGAACTTCTTCGACAAAATTCGTTTTTAAATGTTTTAAAGTTCATGCGTTTCCAGTATACAGATTGAAAACCATTTCCCTCTTGAGAGGTCCAGCACCTCTTTCTCCCCCCCCCAAAAAAAAGCCCTGGTAGCAACAATTTCTCTTTTCATGTTCTCATCTAAGAGAGAATAATGACACGACAGTATATTATCCGCTCTAAACAATAACTGCTGGTTACAGTCTGCCTTGTTGGAAAATCAGGTGTAACTGGGATTTTTTTTTTTTAATCTGTGGAGTACATGGCCACCCACAAAATACGTTTTGCACCAATGTTTTCGGGAAAATCTATTCTGTTTTCTTGGATGAAAGTTATATTTGGACCAATTATGTTTCTTTCTTTCTTTTTTCATAAAGCAAGTTAAGCTTTATGAATGTACTACTAACAGATAACTTTTTTAAAAAGGAAGGATTAGAACATAAGAACATAAGAAAAACCATGATGGATCAGGCCAATGGCCCATCCAGTCCAACACTCTGTGTCACACAATGGCCAAAACCCAGGTGCCATCAGGAGGTCCACCAGTGGGGCCAGAACTCCAGAAGCCCTCCCATTGTGCCCCCCCAAGCACCAAGAATACAGAGCATCACTTGCCCCAGACAGTGTGTTCCATCTCTAACTTGTGGCTAATAGCCATTCATGGACCTCCGCTCCACATGTGTATCCAATCCCCTCTTGAAACTGTCTTTGCTTGTAGCTGCCACCCTGCGGCAGTGAATTCTACCTGTTAATTACTCTTTGGGTGAAGAAGTACTTCCTTTTATCTGTTCGGAACCTACTGCTCATTAATTTCATTGAGTGCAGAAGCTGCTTGGAATTGATCAGAATATCACAGCAACAAGCAGTGCTATGAAAATGTTAATTTACCTGAAATTAACTAGAACACATACCCTTGGATCACATTTGAAGGGCTGCTAAGAATGAATTAAAATGAATTAAAAGAATGAATTAAAAGCCATGAAATTAAAAGATGCCTGCTCCTTGGGAGGAAAGTGATGGTGAACCTAAACAGCATGATAAAAAGTAGAGACATCACCCTGCCAACAAAAGTCCGCATGGTCAAAGCAATGGTATTCCCAGTAGTACTGTATGGCTGCGAGAGTTGGACTATAACGAAGGCCAAGCGCCGAAGAATAGATTCTTTTGAACTATGGTGCTGGAGAAGACTCTTGAGAGTCCCTTGGACTGCAAGAAGATCAAATCAGTCAATCCTAAAAGAAATCAACCCTGACTGTTCCCTGGAAGGCCAGATAATGAAGCTGCAGCTGAAATACTTTGGCCACCCAATGAGAAGGGAGCACTCCCTGGAGAAGACCCTGATGCTGGGAAAGATTGAAGGTCAAAGAAGACGGGGACGGCAAAGGATGAGATGGTTAGACAGTGTCATTGATGCAACAAACATGAAATTGAGCCAACTTCAGAGGATGGCGGAAGACAGGAGGGCCTGGCGGGATCTTGTCCATGGGGTCGCAAAGAGTCGGACTCGACTGTGCGACTGAACAACAACAAGAATGAATGGGGAACGTGGAAATGAAGGGAACGAGGCTTCTGCTGCTGACTTTTTGGTAAGAAATCTGACAGTAGGGCATCACCTGCTTTCCCCTTTGCTGAGGGGATCGGATGGCCATGGCAGGATAGAGCTGTTGTTTATGCATGAGGTAGAGAGCGTGGGTAAAGAGAACTTTTCCTCCCTCTCCCAAAAGATTGGAACTTGAGGGCACTGAGTGAAGTTGATGGGCAATACGTTCAGGACTAGTTCTTGGGATTCACTGAGGAGAGGATGTAGTGATGGCCACAGGCATGGATGCACTTGGGCTTTTAAAGGGGATTAGACAAAGTCAGGCAGGAGAGGTCTACCAGCCACAGGGACTAAGGGGAACCTCCATGTTCAGACGCAGTCAACCTCTCAACCTGGTGCAGGAGAAGACTCTTGAGAGTCCCTTGGACTGCAAGAAGATCAAATCAGTCAATCCTAAAAGAAATCAACCCTGACTGTTCCCTGGAAGGCCAGATAATGAAGCTGCAGCTGAAATACTTTGGCCACCCAATGAGAAGGGAGCACTCACTGGAGAAGACCCTGATGCTGGGAAAGACTGAAGGTCAAAGAAGATGGGGACGGCAAAGGATGAGATGGTTAGACAGTGTCATAGACACAACGAACATGAAGTTGAGTCAACTTCAGAAGACTGCGGAAGACAGGAGGGCCTGGCGGGATCTGGTCCATGGGGTCGCGAAGAGTCGGACTCGACTGTGCGACTGAACAACAACAACAACAACCTCTCAATACTGAAGCTAGGAGGCAACCTCAGGGGAAGGCCTTGGCCTCCATGCACTGTTCTTTGGCTGTCCATGGCGATTGGTTGGCCACTGTGTGAGACAGTATGCGGGACTAAATGGATCCCTGGTCTGTTCTTAAAATGCTTCCATTTACTGTGACTGTTTCACACTGTCCGTGTGGGGAAATATTCTTGGTGAACGTGGCAAGAATCACATTGTCATAATCTGACTGATCTATAAAATTGAACTGCCACATATAGAATTACCCTTTATTCCATCCCTGAGAGAAACCGTCAGTTTGCTTCCTGAAATCCATTTCTGACTTTCTTCCTACTGAGAGCCAGCTTGGTGTAGTGGTTAAGTGTGCGGACTCTAATCTGGGAGAACCGGGTTTGATTCCCCACTCCTCCACTTGCACCTGCTGATGTGGCCTTGGGTCAGTCACAAGCTCTGGCACAGCTGTCCTTGAAAAAGAGCAGTTTGTGTCAGAGTTCTCTCAGCCACACCCACCTCACAGGGTGTCTGTTGTGGGGAGGGGAAGGGAAAGGAGTTTGTAAGCCGCTCTGAGACACCTTTGGGTAGTGAAGGGTGGGGTATAAATCCAATCTCTTCTTCATCTTCTAACAGAATGGTTCTCTCACTATTGCCGATGAAAAAAATCACATGAAGTTAAAATTTACTCAGCCTTCTGACCTTTGGTTCTAAACTCTTTTTTTGTATTTTCCAAATCAGAAGGATAATGCTTTAAAGGGCTACATTTTTAAATAGCATTAACGAAGCTGAACGCAATGAAATTAAGCGTGAAATAAGGAAAATAAAAACTTTTGCATTTTAAAAGTATACATAATTCTGAGAATGCCGTACAAATCTTTTTCTTTTCATTTTTTTTAAAGCATGCAGATTCAGATTAGCAAACCTCAGCCTAGAGACCGAGGGCCTGGGAAGACAGAAATCTGATTATTATACGTGCTGACTCTGTGTATGTTCATTGCCTTACGGGATACACTGTTTTGGTAATGTGAAGTTCTGAAATGTATGGTTGGTAGGTGGCAGCACATAACACATATCTTACTACATGTGATATATTACCTACTAACGCTCATTTTCATAAGTGGGTCTTGATGTGAAACATTATTATTAAGCTTGATGGGTGAAGTCCTCATTCCTTTATTTATACAGTCTAATGACCTGGAGTATTATAGAGGATCTCTCTGTGGGAATGTTGAGTTATTTCTGATGTAATCTGTATATGTTACTGGAGTGCATCTGTTTGTTTATGTATTTCTACAGTTAGTAACTGTTTGGCAAAAGTTATTTTGAAAAATAATTTAAAAAAAATAACAACACAGGAATGGGGAAAAAACGATATGGAAAATAACATGCTTGCAGTTAACAGAAGACATGTGGGTTTCTGCCCCACAGAGCTGGGAGCTTTCTGGTTTTGCCACCTCCTTGCTCATCTTTTTGCTCCCCGCCAAAGCGCAGGCAACACATATGCTTTCGCCATCATCTGGGGCACAACACCCTCGCTTCAGATCTTGCCCCCAGATTCTTGACCACCGCTGTCACTGCAAACATGGCGACTCCACAGGTGTTATCCCCACGGTGCAGCCGAAAATATCCCTGGATGGGAAGAGAGTGGGGTCAAGAAAGAATGAACAGGGTGTCTACCAGATCAAGATGGCAGCTCAGTCCCTACCCTCCCACACCTAGTCTTGGCTTAGCACCCGCCTCCAGCATTTAAGTTCCAAAAAGAGAGAGGCTCGTCATGCCTTTGTGGAAGTCCTCTGCACTGGAAGCTCTTGCCTCTCCCCTCGCTTTAGGTACCTTGGAGCTGTGGTTAGCAGAAAGGCTCCCGACATTTATTTATTTATTTATTATATTTATACCCCGCCCTCCCAGCCATGTGCTCTGATACTCTTTGCAACCATTTCTACGCAAGCTCTGCCCTCTTGTTAATCAGGTATCTCCTTCTATGCAGCTGCCTTGTTGCCAAGCTGACCAAACAGTGCCCAGTTCCCAATAGGGTTGCCAGGTCTGGGTTGGAAAATACCTGAAGACTTTGGGGGTGGATCCAGGAGAGGGCGGGGTTTGGGGAGGGGAGGGGCCTCAGCATGGTACAGGTGCCATCGAGTCCACCCTTCAAAGCAGCGATTTTCTCCAGGGGAGCTGATCTCTGTCACATGGAGATCATTTTGTAAAAGCAGGAAATCCCCAGGCCCCACCTGGAGGCTGGCAACCCTAGTTCCCAAACACTGGGCTTTTCTGCATTCCAATTTTTCTCGCGTATAACTTCCTATTTCTTTGGGGGAGGGGGGATTCTGTTCCATACGTGTTTTGCTCCCTCTAGTGGTCGAGTCAAAATTACACCTCTGTATGTCCGACATAAAAACCTGCAGTTTAAATCTGCAGAGAGATATACCAGACATAACCCAGTGTACTATCAAATCAAGCACTAGAGGGAGCATAACATGTCCAGAACTGAAAAAAACCAGGGACTTACAAGGGAGGAAAATAAGAATGCAGAAAAGCCCCCAATGGCTGTGGAAGGACCATGGCTCAGCGGCAGAACATCTGCTTCGCATGCAGAACGTCCCAGGTTAGGGTTGCCAGACCCTCCGATGGAGGCGGGGTCCCCTGTTGTCAGGCCTCATTGCCCCCCCCCCGCCAATCAGCTGGCTGGCAAGGGGAACTTACCCTGAAAAAAAGGGAGATCGAGCTGATGTGCAGCAACATTTCTATATCACTGCCCACATAGTAACATCATCAGGTTGGGGCAATGCTCTGGTATTTGGGAAAAAACTCTATTGTAGAAGCCAAATTTACCATAGAGTTTTTGCCCAAATACCACAGCATCGCCCTTTCGGGTCACATGGGCCGTGACATAGGTGCATCACTGCAAATCAGCTGGGCCTCCCTCCTGCTCCTGGTAAGCCCCCCCCCCAATCTCCTGCCAGTTGCCAGGAAGGACCTGGCAACCCTGTCCTAGGTTCAATCTCTGGCACCTCCAGTAAGGATCAGGTTTAGATCATGTGCAAGGACCACTGCCTGAGGCACTTGGAGAGCCACTGCCAGTCTGAGTAGACAATACTGACTTCATTGGACCAATGATCTGACTCATTGTAAGGCACCTTCACGGGTTCACAATGCCTCATCAGATCCTCTTCTTCCTTCTCGCGTGTGCCCCCTTCCGCTGATCATTAAATAATGACATAATAGCTCACCTTCTCTCCCCATCTCTTTCCCCAGGAGTTCTGGATAATCCAATACTGTTTTGCTGGGGATTCATGCTGTTTTGGCACTGAACAAAGAAGAAGAAAGGTGTGGTCAGTCCTTTATTCTGTTCCCCGTTACCTCTCTGCATGTCAACTTGGTAGGTTCCGAACAGCCTGTCAGGTGTTGGCCATAGGGTTGCCAGGTCCCCACGGCCACCAGTGCGGGATAGGGTTGCCAGCTCCAGGTTGGGACACTCCTGGAGATTTGGGGATGGAGCCTGGAGAGGACAGGGACCTACAATGCCATAAAGGGCACCCATATCTTTCCAACAGCAACAGGCTTTATGTGGACTTAATCCCTAAAGCTGCCTCCCCCCTTTCATACTGTTCCCAGGTTGTCCGCTGGGGACCCCCCTGTGAGCAAAACTGATGGGAAAAACAGTGTCATGCAATGCTGTGATGTCACTTCCAGCTGAGTATCTGGAAGGGATGTCAGTGCATTATGTGATGCTAGGAATTTCCCTTCCTTGAACGCGATGATTAGGCAACAGTGATCCACGCAATGGTCAGGTCGAGATTGGACTACTGTAATGCTGTCTACATGGGGCTGCCCTTGTCACAAATCCGGAAGCTGCAGCTGGTGCAAAATGCTGCAGCCAGGCTGCTGATGGGTCACCCTGTGCGGGAACATATCCAGCCTGTGCTGAAGGCATTGCACTGGCTGCTGATAGCATACCGAATTCGCTTCAAGGTGCTGGTTTTAACCTTTAAAGCCCTATATGGTCTGGGGCCTACTTACCTGAAGGACCGCCTTTCCCCACATGTTTCCCAGAGAGCACTGAGGTCAGGGTCTCAAAATTGTTTGGCCCTCCCTGGACCCAGAGATGCCAGGCTGGCCTCTACCAGGGCCAGGGCCTTTTCAGAAGCGATTCTGTCCTCGTGGACTGAGCTCCCAGAAGACATCAGGGCCCTGCAGGACCTCTTACAGTTCCACAGGGACTGTAAAACGGAGCTCTTCCATCAGGCCGTTGGTTAGGAGCCGCTTCCAACAACCAAACTGTGGTAAGGCCCCTTATACTGTCACCAGCAGCCTGAAACAGCCCTTATAAATGGTCTGATAAGCTGTTTACCAACTCTGACCATTCCACCATGGCCTACTGGGATTTTTACGTAATATTATACCGCCACCAGCACTTTATTTTGTTATTGTATATGATTTTATGATGTTCACAATCTGTGTTTTAATGTATCTTAACCTTTAATGTAAGCTGCCCTGAGCCTGCCTTGGCGGGGAGGGCGGGATAGAAGTTGAATTAAATAAATAAATATAGGGTTTTTTACCATAGAGACAAGGGAGAAATCCTAGAGGGTCATGCAATGTGATACTAAACTGGAAGTGACATCACAGCATCACACAGGACTGTTTCTCCCAGTCTCAGCCCCCTGGATATGGGTTGCCAGCGGGGCCCCCGGTAACTCTCCCCTTTTGCTGTGTAAAACTAGCTCAATGCCAACACAGCTGTTGTCTTGGATCAGGACCAACATTCTGCTGACTGACCACCAAAGTTACCCCAATGCTATTACCTTTCCCAAAACGTCACCCTCTCACCTTGCCCATAGCCCACAACGAGGGCAAAATGGTCCAGATGTTCTTTGCTGCAGTCCTGAGAAGTTCTCCAGATAACTCCATTTTTGTATTGCTAGTAAGGAAGGGGGGGGGGAGAAATCAAGGCAGAAAAGAATCAGCCGGGGACTGAGAAGACTCTGACACAGACTGCTGCTCTGAAGAAAGCACAACCAAGAAAAAGAGGGTGGAGGAGATCAGTAACAGAAGCTTTCGCTCCATCAGAGACTTACCTGAAGGGCTTTCATATTGAAGAGAACAGTTATGGGGCCTTGGGAAGCAACAATTTCAGCCAGGTCTGGAGAGTGGCAAGAAAAACAAGACAGGGTTAGCATTGGGCTGCAGCGGGCAGAGACTGGAGTCTTAATTTTGAGCTTGGATGCTGCCCTGAGCCTGCTCGCGGGGAGGGCGGGGTATAAACAGAATAAATAAATAAATAATAAATATGGGGTTTTCCCCCCCTTGTCTCCAGTGCCAAGTTTTATCCCTGCGAACACACGCAAATATAACAAAGACCTCTAAGAATAAACAGAGTAGGTTTCCCTCACAGACAAGCCATCCTCCTGGTTTAAAAAGTAAGTTCTCCATACAGGTGGAACCAGGGGAGGGGCTGTGCTCAGTGGTAGAGCCCCTGCTTTGCATGCAGAAGGGCTGAGGTTCAGTCCCGAGAAACTCCAGTTCAAAGGATCGGGTGGCAGATAATGTGAGAGACTGCTGCTCTCTACCGGAGAGCTGCTGCCAGCCAGAGCAAGCAATACTGACTTTGACGGACCGATCGCCTCACTCAGTATAAGCCAGCTTCATATAGTCAACCAGTGAGATCAGTGGCCAAGCTGGTCTGAGCCCCAGTATACCTGCTTTTACAAAGCAAGTCCTGGCAGTGGAAGAGTTCAGGCTTTGAGTACAGAAGATACCTGGTTAGACCCCTGGCATCTCTACTTAAGGTAAAGGTAAAGGTTCCCTTGCTCTAAAGCCAGTCGAATCCAACTCTAGGGTTGCGGTGCTCATCTCCGTTTCAAAGCCGAAGAGCCAGCGCTGTCCAAAGACGTTTCCGTGGTCATGTGGCCGGCATGACTAGGCGCAAGGCGCACGGAACGCTGTTACCTTCCCACCGAAGTGGTACCTATTTATCTACTTGCAATTTCTTGCTTTCAAACTGCTAGGTTGGCAGGAGCTGGAACTAGAGACGGGAGCTCACTTCGTCTTGCGGCACACCCGGGTCTTGAACTGCTGAACTACCGACCTTCCACAGCCTGCAGTTCAGCGTCTTAACCACTTGAGCCACCGCAGCTACTTAATAGATCACAAATAGCATATGTTCAGGAAGACCCTTATCCTCTGAGACCCATACAGAACCACTGCTGACCAGAGCAGATAATCTTGAACTAGATGGGTCAATGATCTGATTCACTACAAAACAGATTTAGAGGTGGGACTTCCTGCATGTGAAGCAACTGCTCTGCCACTGACCTGTAGCTCTCTCTCTCTTTGACAGGGACTGTGGTTCCACGGTAGAGCATCTGCTTGGCATGCAGAAGGTCCCAGGTGCAATTCCCGCCATCTCCAGTTAAGGATCAGCTAGTAGGTGATACGAAAGACCTCTGTTTGTGACCCTGGAGGGCCGCCTGAGTAGACAATACTGATCTTGGTGGACCAATGATCTGATTCAGCATAAGGCAGTTTCATGTGTTCTCCAGGTTCTCCACCATCACCACCGCTGCCTCCTGAATCCTCACCTCGCTCTTCCCTGGGCAGTATTTCATAGCCTTCAATCCCAGTAACTTGTCGTCTCCGATACTGCTGGCACCTTTGATCTTTCCCTGCGTATGGGTAGAGTTTGCTGCTTGACAATCCACCTGGGAAGAACACACAACTGTTATCGACAGCCCCGCCCCCATGATCCTTTTTTCTAGAGTCGCGCCGCAGAAAAGTCATGGGGAGGCATTTAAATGTCTCCTCACTCTCTCCCTGGCCCTTACTGGCTCACCCCCCAGGAGAGGTGGGGGGGGGGCTCTAGGAGCCTTCCTCGGCTCACCCCCCCCAGTGT